AGCTGATACCATCCAGTCTATCCTGGAGTGTGCTTCATTATTTTTTTTTAGTTTTTTTTTGGCTTGGAACCGTGAGTTGAGGTTAATAGTTGTACTTTATTCAGCAGCTTGTTTTAAATGAGAACAAAGACAGGAATTTTCAGTGGGTAACTGGCTGGGAAGATAATGCAACTTAATTACTGTTCTAAGAGCACCATGGATGAATTGATACCAAGCAGTTGCTATGTCCCAGGCTGGCAGCTGGTTGGTTGTTGAATTGGTAAATCAAGAGAGGACCAGTGCTAACTAGCCAAACACAGAAAATGCTGATTGGAAAGAGAAAAGTAATGGTTCTGACTTGGTTGTGGCAGGAGAGTGAGTTTTGAAAACTGCCAGAGACTGTTGTTGTGTTGTACTCTTTCACTAGTATTCAACCAGCTATCGAATTGTTGAATATTCTAAGAAAATAATCCTAATCTATTAGAAATAAAGTAAATATACTTCTGGAAGTCTGCTGAAACCAATTGCATTAACTAGTAACTTTGGAATTCAAGCAAGATTGACAGTTCCATATACCTGTAAACAACATATTGTCAAAGGATTTCATGAAGGCCTGGTATCCATCAGTGGTAACTGTTATTGAACGGGTAGGTTTTTCTATTTTCTTTTCAATTTATGCCTCAACTGTCCCTCTGTGGGTGGGGTTATGTAAAAAAAAAATTAGACTTCAGATCATACATATTAATTAGGTTATCTTGTTGCTTCTCCATGTTATGCTAAAATCACATCACTAATGATAAATTGTTAACTTTTTTTAAGCTATAAACCTTGTGTTCAAGATCTGTTATTCTTAAACTCTGGTTTAGACCAACTAGACAACTTTGAGGGTCATTTAATGTTTTAATTATACTGTGTTGTGAATCCAGAGATAGTGAGGCACATTTGGTTTGGTTTGCTGTTTTATTTTGTAACAATCCCCCACTGCCCTATGGTAGAATCCATGGATGGGTAACCATCAACAGGACAGCTGCAACAATCAAACAGATGGGAAACATAAAAGCCTGAAGCCCTGATAATATTCCAGTTGAGGGCTACAAAGTTGATGGAATTTTTCTCACATTCAAGCCTTCATGAACTAACTCTCTAAATTTGGGAGTTAAAAGAACTTCCGCTGACTTCCAGAATGTGATCATTGTAATTCCCCTCAAGAAGGGAGATAAATCATACTGCAGAAATTATTCAAGGTTTCCCTCTTGTCCATAGTGGGAAAAGTCCTGACACACATTCTTCTGAATCACCCAATTCTTTGGGTGAGGAAATCTTCCCAGAGAAACAATGATATGTGTGCATAAGCTGGAGCTTCTATACATATTGATGTCTACACATAGTGATGTTTGATGATTGAGTCAAAAATTAAATTGGCTTTCTTGATGATTGATTGATGGTGGTGGAGGTTTCAGGCAGACCCTGCTGGGACAGAGATAACAAGGTGTAGAGCTGCATGAACACAGCAGGCCAAGCAGCATCAGAGGAGCAGGAAGTCTGACG